CAGCCTGCCTCTGCAGAAACAACCTCTTAGTGGCTTAAGCAGAATGACAGGCAAGCATTTGCTTCAGAATAAAATGCAGCAGTTACTCTTAGGTAATAGGGGCATGGGTGCTTACGTGTGTGTATAAAGCACTTTAGCTAATATTGCCAGTCACCGCAGTACCTAGAAATCTTAAGTCCTGCCTAGCCAGCCACTGTCCCCCTCACTCTTTCCCATTCCCCAGGGCCAAAACACAGTGAAGATTTGTAATTATGTACCAGTAAAACAGCACTTCAAACACACACACACACACACACACACACACACACACACACACACAATTCTTTTTAAAGCCCTTATTTGTAACACCACCAATTTCCAGGGCATAAACACTTTCACCATGTCAATTTCATGTTAGCAACATGAGGAGTTAGGAAGATATGAGCATAGTCGGCTCTTATGAACCAGTGAGTCAGTTTCAGTGCACCAATGAGCCTCACTTCTCACTCTGTTGAAACATAACCACAGAGTCAAGCTGCCACACTGGTTTTGTCTCTTTACTAGTTTGCCGTCTGCAATTTCTCCCCAAAGACCAGTGTTCAGGGAATAATTTATTCTCAGTACATTGAAAGAGCCATTTTCAACTAGAACACAACTTGCACAAGATTAGGACATTTGGCTGATGTAGTTATTGCTTGTTCATTTGTGCACTATTTTTATGGGACTTAAAGCTCTCGATAATTTAAAAAAAAAAAAAAAAAACTCTTGTATTAGCAGAATTTAATACTCTACATTTTGGTTTGGAAGCCTAGCATCTACTCAGCTTTTGAGCCCCTAAGATGTACAGTTCTATCTGAAATCCCAATGTAAAGAAATGTAGAATGGTAAAATCCTTAGAAAAGTGCCTACACTAATTCAATATACACCATGTGCCAGACATTGTTCTAGACACTCATGGCAATACAACCATGATTAAAAGAAAGTCTCTTGTATAGTGAACTTTGATTTGAGTGGAGGAGATAGTTGATAAACAAGCCAATAGGAAAATGAACAAGATAAAGTCATGTAGTGTCAAATGTTGAAAAAAGGAAAAAAGGGTGAGGTAATAGAGAAAGTGTGATATGACTTTAGATTAGGTAGTCAAGGACAGCCTCTCTGAAAAGGTGGCATCCAAGCTGAGACTTGAAGGGCAAGGAGGAGCCAGCCGTGCCCAGAGCAAGGGGAGGGAAGAGCTTGGTATGTTGAATGTGGCTTTGATTTGCATTTCTCTAATGACCAGTGATGATGAGCATTTTTCATATGTGTGTTGGCCTCATAAGTGTCATCTTTTGAAAAGTGTCTGTTCATATCCTTTACCCACTTTTGAATGGGTTTGTTTTTTCCTTGTAAATCTGTTTTATTCATGTTTAGATCCTCACAGCCTAGTACAACATCTGGGAAAAGAGTGGTACCCAATTAAGCTTTACTGAATCATCAGTGTTAGCTGGCTTTGTTAAACTCATGAGCTGGTCCTTGTTTTTTTGTTTATTTGTTCATTTTCATAAACCAGATTGGGCAAGAATTACCATATCCATAGGTGGATGCTTGCATTTCATCCTTAGAGTATAATCACGTAGTATAAACTTTGAACTCTCATTACACACAAAGGGATCTAAAAGTTTGTGAGTCACAGATACCTTTGTGCACTAGAGAAACTGGAGTCACAGCCACTGAGAGCCTGAGAGATTTAAAAACCCTGGAAGTAGAGGAAATTTCTAATTTTGACCAAATTGGAGTAACAGGGATCTGCCTTCTCACCTAACCAAAAAAAAAAAAAAAAAAAAAAAAAAAGACAAAATATGAACAATACTTTGGAAAACACTTGACATCAGGCAACAAAGGACAATAACGCATACCTGAGGCATGGTATGGAAATATAAAGAATATTGACCGAAGGGTCAAAAGTTGGGGTTCTAGCTCAGGAGAATCCTATGATTGCCCTAGATGATCACCTCGAGAATTTTTCCAGATCTCAGCACAAGGAAGGGGATCTAGGCAGTGCCCAGCAGGCAGGCTGAGTTGGGGAGATGAAGGTGAGTCCAGGTAGAACAATGTAGCATGAGCTCACAGAACCCAGAACGAGACAGGAAAGAGCTGCACAAAGAACTGCAAAGTCTGCACTACATACTTGCTAGAATAGCTAAGATGGAGACTGACTGTGAATTGCAAAATAATTATGCAGAGTGAAAGAATCCACATGCTAAAGAGTATATAACGGTTAATTCTTTGTATACGAAATTCTAGGAAATGAAAACTAATATCACAGCAACAGAAAGCAGATCATTGGTGCCTTGGGGACAAGGGATAGGAGGGTTAACAGGGACAGTTTGGAAGAAGGGATTACAAAAGGGCACAAGAAAATTTTGGTCGTGATTGGCATGTTCATTATCTTAATTTCATAGGTGTAGATATATGTCAAAACTTACCAAACTACACACTTTAAATATAAGCAACGTAGTATATGTCAATTATAACTAAATAAAATTGTTTAAGAAAACCTGGGTTAAAGGTCATAGGAATATAGGTGTCAATTATAATAAAAGCTTCTTTTTTGTTTTTTAAGACAGAGTTGCTCTCTGTTGTGCAGGCTGGAGTACAGTGGCATGACCTTGGCTCATTACAACCTTTGCCTCCCAGGTTCAAATGATTCTCCTGCCTCAGCCTCCCCAGTAGCTAGGATTACAGGCACATGCCACCATGCCCAGCTAATTGTTTGTGTTTTTAGTAGAGATGGGGTTTCACTATGTTGGCCAGGCTGGTCTCCAACTTCAGACCTCAAGTGATCTGCCCTCCCAAAGTGCTGAGATTACAGGCGTAAGCCACTACGCCTGGCCTATAATGAAATCTTAGTCTTGTGTAAAATGGGCTTCTGTACTATCCCAGAAACAGTCATGCTCAGTCATCTGCTGGGGCTTCCCCAGTGGTGATTGGTGTGGAAAAAAAAGAGTATCCATTGATATTAATTGAGGAAGAAAAAGACCTGGGTTCTAGCTCAGACTATCCTTTTATACACTGTGTCACTTCACATAGAAATGTCCCAAAACATGATTGGGAAGGAACCAAGCTCTTATGTTTAAAAGCAAGAGGAAATAATGGAGAGCATGAGTTTGCAAACCAGACACACCTGGATTTGTTTTCCTACATTGTCCCTGAAGAGCAACACTCATAGACGAGTGCAGGAAGCCCAACTCTATGGTGATAAATTTTTACGCATTGAAAAATTTATTTTTCTCTCCTGAGCTGCCAACATCCAGATCAAAAATCAGAACATTATCAGGCCCCCCCCAGGAGCACCCTCTCATGCTCCATTTCAATCACTACATACATCAAACAAACTTCAGTTCAAATTCTACCTCTACCACTCATTGGCCATGTGACTTTCAGCACATTTTCTCTTTCATAAAGTGGAGTTCATAATGCCAATTTGTCAGATTTTATTTCTTGAAGAATCAAATAAAATCGCAGGTTTAAATCATCTACCACAACGTCTAACATGTCAGTGGGTTTCATATAGAGGCGTTCCCCTCCCAAAGAGAAGCTTGGAAGGGCCAGACTCCAACAGGCAGGAGACAGTAGAGGACTCAGAGGGTCCCAAGTTGCATCGGGGCACACCTGTGGGTGAGTCACTTTGCCATCCTGGGTTCCAACTCGAATCTCATCAAATGAAGGCCCCATAAACACTGGATTCAATACAGTACTCCTTCAGGACACCTTGCCAGGGATACGAGGATGAATAAGACATGGTCCTCACACTTTGAAGAGTTTGGAAGTCAGACTTCTCTAGTTCTGATCAGCTGCGAGTGTGAACCTCAGTTTCTTTGAAACTATGTAAATATATGTAAGTGTACAAACGGGGAGATCAGTGCCATCTTTCAGGATGGGTCATCACAAGTACGAGAAAGCTTTTCCAATCAGCATCTTGCCTTACACTCCCAAATCAGAATCTCTAGGGTTAGGCCCCAGAAATATGTATGCATTGCCAATTCCCAGGTGATTCGGATGCAAGTGATCTACATAGAGCACATGAGAACCTCCATTGAAAGAGCTGGGATGACAAAAGTTGTACTGAGCCCAGGACACACACTGCCAAGTTAACCATTACTAATAACTCTCTAAGGCCAATTTGCTTCCCCTTCATGTGCCTGTTTTCCCTAAGACATACCAAAAATAGACTCTCCTTAATTAAGAATATACAGTTACTTGAGCTCCAAACAAGTCATTTTTTTCAAACCAGGATCTCAGCTCCCCATTCCTACTGAACATCAGCTATCAGGAATGATTTGCCTGTTTTTCAGCAGCAATTGATCATGGCATGGCAAGCCTGTCCTGGGGCCTCCTCTGAATAAACAGCCCACAGCACTGAGAACAAACCGTTCTGTCAACGAGCAGGCTGCTAGCACAGACAACTCTGTACACCTGTTGTCAGAAGTGCTAATGATAAGTGACACTCATCACTGAGGATGTCTGTAACAGCCTTCCCAAAAGAATGGACAGTTGCCTCCAATTACTAGCCTTGAATTATACAAAATAAAGAATGATCATTAATAATTATAATAATAATAACAATAGCCAGCATTCACAAGGCACAGATCATATGCCCAGATACTCCTGGACCCTTTTAATGTGTTATTTCACTTACTCCCTGGTATAGATTGAATTACTGATTTCAGTTCTTCATCTTTCATTTTTCCTTTTTTACACTCTTTGCATGTGACTTGCAGTTGTCTCTAAAGGTGGGGGGTATTTCCCCACTTCTTCCCTCAGACAAACCTAGACTACATCAGCTAACCACAGATCTGTGCGTAAGAATAAGTGGTTCAAATTAGTGGACAGGAAGCCACTTATGTGGTGACTTGTTACATAGCAACAACTGACCAATTCTATCTCCTAGAAAAGTGATTGGCAAACCAAGGTCTGGGCCTAGGTTCTGTTTTTATAAAGAAAGTTTTATTGGAACAAAAGAAAATAATTCATGTACTTACATATCATCTATGACTGCTTTCTTGTTGTAACAGCAGACTTAAGAGGTTGTCACAAAGACTGCGTGATTTACAAAGCATAAATATTTACTGTCTGGCCCTTTACAGAAAAAAAAAAGAAAAAAAAAAAAAAAGAACTGCTGGTTACTCCCCTAGAAAAGGGTTTCTCAAACATTACCTTGCATCAGAATCACCTGGAGGACTTATTACAAAGGTGGAGCTGAGCCCTAGACCCAGGATTCTGATTCAGTAGGTCTGGAGTGAGACTCAAGAATTGCACTTCTAATAAATTCCCATGTAGATGCCCATGCGCTGGTCTGAGGACCACACTTTAAGAACTACTCCCCTAGAACAATGGTTCTCAACGCTGGCTGTATGTTAGAATCACCTGGAGAGCTCTCGCGTTGAGCCCTGAGGTATATCAGTAATTGTTAAAAAGCTTCTTGGGATTTCTAGTTTGCAGCTGGGATTTAGAACACTACTCAGGAGCAATCCTTTTAGTCACTGAAGTATTGGTTGAGCACCACGAACAAGCAACTGTCCTGAAAACAGCTTTGAGGACACAGTCCTGAACCTGAAGGAATCCTAGTCTGAGGAGCAGACACATAGGTAAATAGCAAAAGGTAAGCTATGTGTATGCTGGAGGTGAGCATTCGGTGAGAGGGATGCCCCGGGGATGATGAGCTGTCAGACAAGGCTGGGAGAAGGGTAGGGGAGGTCACCTGGGGGAGGTGACACCTGAAGCAAATTTTGAAGAGAAAAATGTAATATGCATTTCACCAATAAGGAACGTGGACTCAAAGTTTTAGGCCACTTGGCTAGAATCACATTCTAGTATCCTGGTCAGGGCTAGGATCCAAACCCAGCTCTCGGAACATTTCCCTCCCACCCAGATGCCTGTTTATGTCTGTCCCTCTTCTATTCCGGACTCCAGTACCATACACTAATGTAATGACATCTACAAAATAAGTACCTTCTAAAATAGCTGTTATTAAGTAATGGATCTAATTGAATCATGGTTTCAAGGCACATCAGGGTCTTCAGGTGTCTCAAGGACATCCACTCAAGCCGCAGTCATCCAGATATTCTAGGTACTTCAGAATCCTCACTTGTGTGGTTGAAGATTGTTTTGTACCTTACAGAGAGACAAGAAGATATCATTTGCCTCTTGATGGAAGTATACACCACCACCTGATGTAGTCTTGCCTGAAAATCAAACTTAAGTTCAATCAAGGATCTAAGTACCATTTACCAGAAAAACAGTGAACCACAGACAGGCAATCTAAGAAATCCAGATAGAATGAATCACTCATTTCAGAACAAACAATTCAGCTTCTTCAGTAAATTTAAATTGTGAAGGAAAGGTTATTATGAGCTAAATTGTGTCCCCTTTTTACAATTAAGATGTTGAAGCCCTAACCCCCGCTACTTTAGAATATGACTGTATTTGGAGATAAGGCCTTTAAAGCGGTAACTACATAAAAATGAGGTCAGGCGAGCGGGCTCTATCCAATATGACTGGTGTCCTTATAAAAAGAGGAGATTAGGATATGGATATGCAGAGACAAAGGACCATGTGAAGGCATACAGAGAAGATGGTCACCTGTAAGCCAAGGAAAGAGGCCTCAGAAGAAACCAACCCTTCCAACACCTTTGTCTAACACTTCCAGCTTCCAGAACTGTGCGAAAATACATTTCTGTTGTGTAAGCCCTCCAGTCTATGATATTTTATTATGTCGGCCTTAGCATACTAATATGACGTCCCTTATTTTTAGAGCTGATGCTTTGGGCATTACTCAACAAACCTTTGAAAACAGCCTCCAGCAACTTCCATCCGCTGGTCTGGTCTTTGGTTCCAACTTCCGCCATTACGTTAATAGAAAGTTTTATCCTTCGGATAAGACTTTGAACCCTTGATGTGAGGGAAGCTGCCTGCTATTTGCATGTCTTCCCTTTTCTACCCTAAACACCTCAGTTCTCCCACTTGTTCCCAGGCCGCAGCTTCCAGACCCTCCCCAAGCACGGTGCTCTTTACCCATCTGAAGAAGGCATACATCCCTGGAGGCCTGCCTTGCTCAGGGCTTTTGAATTTGCTGTTCCCTTTGCCAGAGACCATCCCAGCCTCGGAGATCTGCTGGGCCCACTGCTTTGCTTTGTTTGGGTCTGTGCTCAAATGTGACTTCGTCAGAGAAGTGTCCCCTGGTCTTTTCATTCTTGACTCCTTTACTTTGCTTCTTCTCTTCCTATAGCACATATTAGACATTTAATCAAATCTTTATAGGTTGCCTGTCTCCATCCAATAAACTGCAAGTTCCCTGAAGACAGGTACTCGTGTTCATCCCTGCTGCATCTTGATGGGGCCTGCTGTTCCACAGGGGCTCAACCTGCATTTCTTGGATGAGTGAGTAAATGATAGCTGGTTTTGTAGTGGGGCATTCCAGTTCCAAGATACAGCAAATATCTTTGCTTATGTTCCCCCCTTCCCTTTAAAAAGGCTCAGCAACAAGCCTAAAAGTAGCAAAAGGAAGCTCTATCAGCGGCTGCCCAGCGCCCGCAGCATCAGCCCCTCCAAAACCGCCAGCCCGCTCAGGCTGCAGCTGGACAGCCCAGAGACACTTCGTGGCCATCTGCAGACCACCAGGCCCAAGACAGCCAGCTGCGGAGACAGCAGGAGGCCTCGGGGACACGTGCTTCAGGCAGGCGAGCACCCACCCCAAGCACATTCGACTTTCTCCTCATCAGACGGCTCCTTTGCATCTGCCCGTGTGTACTTTGGCTTCCAAAGCCTCTGTTTACAAATCTGGGTCAAGGAAGGACAGGAATTCCAACAACACACAATTCACAGAAGCCGGCCCGTGGCCTCCGTTCTCATTTTTCCTTGTAAGAAGGCTGTGTGGAGCAGCGTTGAGTCACTGTATTTGGAAGCTTCCCAGAGCCAGTTGATATCCAGCTGTCATCTGTATTTACCATCATTGCGACTTGGAGAAAACAGTACCATCTCTGTGAGCCTCCGTTTCCACACTTTTTAAAAAGAAGACAATGATACAACCTTAACAGAATTAGAACTCAAGTATGAAGACAGTAGCACATGGAACTCATTCAGTAATTTGATATTTTTTTTTACATTCCCAAGTAATACTCTAGCGTGTCCCATCTCAGGCAGAATCCTGGAGTCGTCCTGATCCCACTTTCTCCCAAAGACAATCGGCCACCATTCTACTTCTTAATTTGTCATGAATTCATCTACTTCTTCCTCTTTCTGTGAGGATCTTCACTGGCTGTTCCTAGCAAAGACTCGGGAGTTGTCCCCTGTGAGTTTAGTCACGTCTCCGCCACTTCTGGCTGGGCGATGTTGAGCATGTTATTTATCTTCCATGTGACTTGGTTTTTTAACCTGTAAAATGGAATGACAGCGGTGGGTGTGGAGTCAACACTGTTGATTCCCGACTAAAAGTCTCCCCAAACACTCTTCTCCATTGCTACCTCATGTATGCAAGCTGGGAAGCCAAGTATTAGAGTTCCTAGCCTCTCTGTAGCCAGGGGTGTGCTGTACTCATCCTGGCCCAAGATACAAGCAGAATTCTGCTGATAAGTGCTATCAAAGCTTGAAAGTTAGGTTATAATATCCATGGGAAATGCTTAGGGAAGGGCCTGGCTCATAGAACAGAGATGACTGCGGAATGAATGTAGCAAGGTAGAGACCAGGAAGGAAACAGATTTAAGCAAGAGGAATGAGGTGAGGATCAGGTGATAGGGGAAGATTTCAGGGAGGTGGATAGTGCTGGCACGGAGGATAGGACCTGGCCAGGGCCTGAACATCCCCAAAAGTCGCCTGTCCCTTGAAGGGAGCTAGTTAAGGAGTCAGTACAAGGGACCTATCATTCATCATTGGACTGTGAAATGCTTATGAATTGGTCTCAGCGCACATTCCAGTCACCATAAGTGTGAACGATGTCTTTCATCTCACACTGTCTGGCAGCTTTCTCACCAGACAGGGCGAAGCTTTGCAGGAAACCCCAGGACATAGGGTTGTGCACAGCAAGGTCCCCTGGGGTGCTCTGCGGGAGCAATGCTAGCCACAGCCCCACTTAGGGGAACACTCATGTATGATACCCCTTCATATGCCCTGTCCCAGCTGAAGAGCTGCTACACCATGTCCAGGCCCTCAGAGGCATAAAGGTCATCGAGAGATGTTAGGAAAAATTCCAGTGAATGGGTCTGTCTGTAATCATCACAGAAACTGCTCCTCCCTTTCCTGAACCTGGGTGGGTCCCTTCCACCTACCCAGCCACCCCATGGCAGAACTGCTAATATTGGGGAAGAAGCCAAAAAATAAACAGAGGTAAAATATTCCCCCAAAAGAGTGGCTCTTAGGTGTCCCAACAAGGTGACCAATTGCTTTCCACAAAGGATGTCCAGATTCTGACTCCAAGCAGAGGTGGTTCTTGCCCCAGCTTGGAGATTGATCAAATATGTAAAAGGTTATATTATGCTGGGCACTCAGTAGCCCTTTTGAAAACATGTTTTACATACCTTCAATGTCTAGTTTCTCACAGGCTTAACCTGGAACACAACCACAGAAATGTTCTTTCCAAAATGCAAATCAGACTCTGTCATTTTCCTGCTCAGAGACTTTGATGGCTCTGCCTTAACCATGAAATTGAAGCTCAGCCTGGCGATGCATCCACTGTTTCCTCTTTCTTATTTCTTTTTATATGCTGGATGTCTCAAACTCACTGGTATTCCCCAGACACGCAGTGATACTCATCCCTGCTTGTCTCTGCACATCATTGCATTCATTCAATAACTTACCCATTCACTGAATGAACATATATTAAGTGCTTACTGCATTCCTGTATGTTACTTTCTAAGATACAATGATGGACAAGAACAACTGCCTGTCCTTAAAGAACATATCGTCAGGAGTACCCATGCCTGGCAGGACATCAGAGTCACACACAGGGGTGCTCAAAAGCACAGAGGCTTGAGCTGCATCCTGGTATCTCAGAATGGAAAGAGAAGGAAAGGAAACAGCCAGCAAAAGCATCATAAGAGAATAGGGGGAGCTGATTGCAGATTTCTCCTTTTACCTCCCTGACAACCAACTGGGTGAATGGGCTAGGCTGTAGAGCCAAAAACACTGATTCAAAACTCGGGCATTTTTGTACTCTTGCTTGCTGAGACATTTCATCTTTGCATCTGTGGCTGGGTGACATTATTACTAGGTCTCCCTTTTACTTTCAAAAGTGCCCTGTTTGGGATGATAAGTTCTATAAGCACCTTATTCTATAATCAGCTTTCCCCTTTCCTACGCGTGAGCACTTGGGGGAAATGGCTGAAACTTCCTGAGCCTCAGTTTCATGGTCTGTATCACTGAGTGAGCCATACCTACTTGAGAAGGTATCAGAATTAAATGAGGTGATGTCTGTCAAGTCCCTGGCACAGTAGATGTTTAATTCACAGAAGCTGTTGTTATTTTTTTGCCTTGTAGAAAGTGGTTCTCATCTGCTCTGCATTGTTCATTATTAAATGAAACGAGACCTCAACGATGAGAACATTCAGATGAAACACAGAGCATTTATATTGGTGGAGAGGATGGCCTGAGTCAGCAAGACATTGCTTGGGTAGTCGCTGGCCAGGATGACAAGCCTGTTTAAGTGTCTCCATTACAATATTTAAACTTCAGCTCAACAGCCTAGAAAGCTTCACTTTACTACCCTCCTTCTTGGTTTCAATTTCTCATAGTGTTAGGTCAAATGCCAGCAATGGATCCAGAAGGAGGAAACTGCAGCCTATTTTGATGTCCAGGGTCAGGCCGGGGAGAGAGACTGACACATTATCTGTCTCACTGACTGTCCACTCCCCCCACCGCAGAGGTGACTCATCAGATGGCCTGTCTGAACAGTGATTCTGCCGGTGATTCATCGTTGCCCACCAGAAAGCCCCCTTCTTAACGTCCTCTTTCTGAGCTCTTCAATTAGCATTTGAGGTCCAAGGAGATTTAGAGGGAGGGGAGGGTAGAAACATCTGACAGCTGGACCGAGTGTGGCTTCCCTGAGTGGCAGTGGGACACAGGGAGGGAGAAGAGGAAGTGCTGGGTGCCGCTTGCTCCCAGAGTGAGAACTTGGAAACAGCCAGAGGAAAAATATATATATAATAAATGGTGAATATTTATAATATTGCAGAGGTCCTTAGGGGTGAAGGAATCTCATCAAGGACAGGAAGGAGGGTGAAAACTTTATCGAAATCAGAAATCTTTTTGGATGGTGTTGCAGGAAGGTTGCTATGTGAATGGATTGTTTAAAAATCTAAGGTATAGCAAACTGAAGATAAAGTGGATCAACATAAAGAGAATATGTGTCGAGTCTGGGATAGAAGGAAGACTAAAGCAGGAGTTTTCCAGTGCTATGCTAGAAAGACAGTTACTGAGGCTGGTAGATATTCAAGTCTCTAAAAATATCCCTAAGTTCTCTAGAATGGGCCTAAAAGTGGTTAGTTTTCCTGAAGTGTGATAGGTAAAATTATTAATGTACATACACATAAAGAAAAATTCCTTTACAAATCATCTGTGCCTTCATACCACTTGTACATCAAACCAAGATTATCACATGTATTTTTCTTTAAGCACAATTAAGTAAAAATAAGCAAACTTTTTCTTTCTCCAGACATGCCAAGCTTCAGCTGAAACTCAGGCCTCATGCAGTTTTCTCTGCTTAGAATGTTCTCTGCCCAACCTCCACCTGCCCCACTTCTTATCATACAGGTGTCAGGTCAAATGCTTTCTTCTCAGTGAAGATTTCCCTGGCCACCTTGTCAAACATAAATGCCATCTGGTTATCCTCTCTCCAGGCCGTGGTTTATTTTTTCTAAAGAACTTTCCAGGATCTCAGCCTTATCTTGGTTTACTTGTTTGTAACCTGTCTCTCTCCTCCAGAATGTAAGCTCCAAGAGAGCAGGAACTCCTCCTTGACATTATTCCTGCCTTAATCCTCAGTGTCTAGCCTATTTCTTGCCATATGATAGATGCTTAATGCATGTTTGTTGAATAAAGACCCATTAAAGTGAATTATGGGCTGAATAATGCCATTCTTGCATTGGGGAAAAAAGTGTGGAGTTGTAGGTAGGACATGGAGAATTGTGTGTCATCCTGGACATGGCCATAGGAAAGTGTAAAACACTTATTTTTGGTAATAATTATACTTTTTCCCCCTCAAATGAGCCATAGACCTGAGAGTTAAGTAGGGATGAACTGTTTTTCTATGCTGGTAAATATGGATTAGAGCACATGGCTTAGAAATGAGTCTAAAACAGGTTTCCTGCTCCTGCATCTTTTGTTAGAGATGACTCAGTTACAGCTAGAAAACTGCAAGCTTCTCCATTTCCTTTCCTCCCTCTTTCTCTTCCTATCACCCTGACTCCTATCACCCTGACTCAGGGCAAAGACTCTCCCAGTGGGCTGACCTTATGGAAGACGTTGAAGCTGAACAAACACCTGTGACTCTGAAAGTCATTCTTTTATGGGGAAGAGCAAACAAGGATACAAGCTTCCTCCCATGTTTTAAACCCTCTTGGGACACCTTCTAGCCCCAAGGAAACTGGGGATCTGTGAGTAGTTCACATCATCTGTGACGAACCAATAAGCCATCTCTGTCTGCATTCAGTCTCTTGAGGAGACGTTCTTAACTTAGGTCCATGAACTCTGCAAGGATCAGAAAGCAGATGCCTGGAGGTCTATGATGAATGAGAAAAAAATATGGCTTGATTTTCACTAACCTCTAACTGAAATTTAATATTTCTATCACTTGTGTATGTAGACAGACACAGTTTATCAGCAATAGCTGTGATTTTTGTCATCCACAGAAATGACAGATAATTTCATATCATATGTCAGCTGTGGCAGAGATCATAAAATATTGCCCTCATGTCTATTTCAAAGTTACATTAGTTACTGGGCTTCTGATAGATCTTCTTTGATGCCTTTATGTAACGTACAGAGTACTTGCGGTAGTGAGGGTAGTGAGGCCTCTAAGATGCCCTTCAATGACTGAGTCTTCTGGTTTTCACAACCTGTATTCAGCTCTCCCTTGAGGGTGAGCTGGACCTACTGACCTGCTTCTCATGGATGGAATAGGGCAAAGGTGAGGAGGTGTCACATGCAGGATGAGGTTATAAAAGATGATGACTTCGGTCTTGCTCACACTCACTTTCCCTCTTACTTCCTCACTCTGACAGAGCCAGATGCCACGTTAGGCGCTGTCCGCAGAGAGGCCCACGTGGCGAGAAACTGAGCGCAGCTTCTGGCCAAGAATCAGTGCGGAAATGAGGCCCTCAGTTAGACATCTCATGAGAAACCCAATTCTGCCCACGAGCCTGTGAGCGAGCTTGGAAGCAGAC